ACATATATATATTATATATATATGTATTGACTCTGTGCCCTTTAATCACAGACCATGTTCCGGAGGACCTAAGGGACCCATTCTACACGGATCAGTACGACCAGGAACACATAAAGCCGCCCGTCACCCGGCTGCTGCTGTCGTGTGAGCTCTACTGTCGTGTCTGCACGCTCATCCTCAAGACGGAGCAGGCAGTATCCCTCCAGTCCCATCTGTCCGTCATCCAGGCTCTCTCCAGGAAGGGGATTTATGTGGTGGAGAGTGACGACACCCGAGTCACAGAGGGAGACCTGGCTTGTGTGCCCATCAAGATGGTGAGTGGTTGAATTGACAGTTCCTGATTGCCATGATAACATTAACCGGGGTTTCTGTGTGATTTCTGAAGTTAGAGGTGCATGTCTAAAAACATGCAGATTGTCGATGAGGGACAGTTTTAATTCACCACAAGTGTCAGCATGAATAGTTGTTTATCTATCACTGACCACTGGGATTGGGCCAGAAAAGAGCATGAAGCAGTAGAGGATAAATGAATCAATTTAATTGTTCAACACCATTTATGTGCTTATTGTGTTGGGCTCGTTGTAGTTTTAAGATATTTTTATTTTCTCACAGTTCTCAGATGGGCTTACTGTATATGGAGTACAACAGCGAAGACACCTACTATTTGTCCATTGAAGTATATTATATACATTGACGTGTCGTACAGTGGTCCAGGTTCAGTTACAACGCTTCCAGAAGAATAAATATTTCATTGTCTGCTCTCACCTCACCTCACCACAGAGATTAGACTCTATTTACTATGTAAATTGAAGTGACTATTGTACTTTAATGGTTTGGCTGAGGCGATGTGTCAGGAAACATTTTCTTTTAGATAGGACTGTAAAATATGCTGTTAGTTCATACCCCAGTTTCCTAACACACAAAGAATCAAATAAAAATCAAATAAAGAATCAAATACGAGATCTCAAATTTTAAAAGTTTTACTTGCAGCAAGGAATGCAGAACAATGGTTATATTCAGAACTGCACTGAGGAACACCTCAGTGCTCAAAGCTTAAATACAGTTTTTTTTACA